ATCTCAAAAACTACTAGAGATAGGTATATTATAACCAAATTGCTGAAAATATTTTCTGTATATAAACCATATTGTTTATTAAATAAGAAGTTTATGAGAAAAGTGTCGCATTTTCGTATGTATTATTAAGTAATAGGTTTAAAAGAATTGATACTTTTAAGTGGATATGTATTATCCTTAATAAGGACAATTCGTTTTTGTTTAACGAATGAGATTCTATGTTTCAATAGATAATAGAAATCATTGGTTTGTATCTGTATTATGAAGGAGGTAGGTTTACCTTACTAATTTGCAATGAACTTGATTACAGTCTTTACTATTAGGTCAATATCTGACGAAGGTCGATTCAATTGAAAGGCAATTGGCATTGACATTGTAAACTGAGTAATTCAATCTAAAGCGAAACATTAATAAAAAATATAGAACATGCTGTAAATCACCTAATCACTAAGGGAAAGACTTTTTAGTTTTGTAATATAGTCTTCGAAAAGATGTTCAAAGTTTTTAATTAATTCTATTCACAATACATTCATAAATTATTATAATCTGAAGAGGAATTTATGTCATAATTTTTAAAAATAGTTAGATGTTACATAACAGAAAAAAATACAATAAAATGTTTGAAAATTGAATCTTTTGTAGGTAAACAATAAATCATAATTAATTACAAATTTTTCTATGAACTTAATTCAATAATTTTCGAAGAACATAAATATTTATTAGTGTTTCAAATTGTCCAGTTACTTCAGAGTTTGACGTCTTCTATGTAACTATTAAGTTTTCCCATGAGAAAACAACCAGAGAATTGTCAATAAAGTATGAAACTATTTTTCACAAATCTGAGACTTATATTGTATCTGCAGCGTTATCTAATCAATTAAATATCCACTTTTAATATGTTGTTGATGACTATACACCTTCTCAGGTTTAGTCAGACATATTAGCGGCAGAAACGGGAGTTAGGAGGGGTAGAGGTAGGCCTGGATGAGTTCGCAAATAGTTAAGGATGTGGAATGTTATAGTTTCAGGGAAATGCGAAGATTAGTTCAGGATAGGAAAGAATGGAGGTGCATGTCCAACCAGTCTTAGAGCTGACGACCTTATAATGATGATTATTTTACATAGACATCCCTGCAAATCTATCCTCTACAACTGAAGGAGCTCAAGGAAGAACAAGCCGGAGTTAAAATGAAATAATGTTGCATTTTATAGGTACAGATACAGAACAGAAGAAAACAAGAATATAGTTGAGTACATTCAAAACTTTTTATGTTACTAATTTCGTCAAAATTTCTGACACATATATCCAAGAATATTTACCACTATACGTAAATTAATAACAAATTGTTTTACTCACCGATTGGTTGTTTTGTTATTCTATATGCTCGTAATACGATTCCGAAAATGTGGCACAGGATGTTAATGAGTCTTTCAATATTAGTTTAATGACTTAATGAGTTAATATATGTACATACAATACAACCCGAATGATTCTTTTTTAAACGATATTCCAATACGTCTTTATGCGTCGTATACTAATACACGTTTTCACGATCTTTTTCTTAAAAACAATTTTGTTGTTGTGTTTTTTTAAATAGTTTTAATAAAGAGCATGTTAGATAGAACACGCTTGAGTAACAACTGACCAACCAGACGGTCGCAGCGTGTACTTAATAATTTGGACCTAGAAACGTGTAAGATGTTACGCAAAGGTGAAATGTTTCCTCCTCTTCTGAATGGAACAGTGGGTAGTGGGAGATAGAAAATGTTAACGACATGATGCTGATGATCGTGATTACTGTGTGATGATGAAGATGATAACAGGTAGATGGTGCGAATGGAGAAGCTGAAGTTTTTCGAAATTCTAAAGCACGAGTTTATAGAAAAAATTTCTGGTATTCCAAAGTACGTCGGAGATGACGTTCTGCGGTTGGGAAATGGAGGAACATGTTAAGGTCATCGGGTTTTCTTTAGCAGAACGAAGGACTAGCAACATTTGGGTAAGCCCATAACATACCTACTAATTTGGTAATATAAAGAACCATTCCGACTTCCTTTTTGTTTTATATTTTAATTGGAGCTGGTGTTATGTATCGACTGTTACTTGATGAAGTTCCACATTATACAAAAATAATAATCATTTTATGAATTTCACAATTTTGTTAAGCAAATATGTATAGTTACGTCACACTCGGGCTTCATCAATAAAATCTTTACGCAAAATATTTGAGTTTCATACAGGTACCAGCAATTAGGGAAGGATGAAGTTGGAATTAAGTAACCAAGATTAATTGCTTAAATTTGTTATTCATTCTACTAATTCTGATAACGTCAATGTAAGGGAATTGAATTGGGAGAGTTGAAAACTCGAATTAAAATTATTCTTGAATTTCTGCGGCTGTGTTTGGTATTTTTAATAGAATTTTCCGAAAAGCCAAAAATTTTCAATGCATTCTTGCTTAATTTTAATACTTATTCGAACGATTAAGATTCAGCATTATCATTATATAAATGTACGACGTTTGTTCAAAAAGTATCGCGAATCAAAAATTATTTATCTATTCATTAATATCTATCTTGTCCCCTAAAAAAATTATCCCCACCACATATTATACACTTCTGCAACGTTTATTCCAATTCTCGAAGCTCTTCAAAATATCGTTTCTTGTGATTTTGTTTACAATGAAAACTAATTGAAATTACTTCTTAACGATAAAAAGTTTATTACCTTTAACGTGTAACAAACTTAATCAGAAACATAAATATTATTATCTATAAATTCTACATTTATATTATTTCCTTATTATTACTGCGAATCATAATTAGCACAGTGTGAAGGGTTTCATTTATATCCAAATCTGAGTTTATGATCCAATAAATTATCTACGGAATCACTTACATTCATTGCCTAACGAACTATTCTCCTACACATTGTTTTACTAAGTGGGTAAAAAATGTTTTTTATGATCTTGTTCAAATCCTCCTTCGATGCCTTTGTCTTTATCTCCTCAATCGTAGAGTAACTTGTCCTTTCATGGGCCTTTTCAGCTTAGGGAACAAGAAATAATCACAGAGGGAGAAATCTGGGGAATACGGTGGCTGCGGCATTATTTGTGTGTTAGGGCGTTATCATGGTGCCAAAGCCAATTTTTGTTCTTCCAATACTATAGGGTTGTTCGGAAAGTCATTTCGTTTTTTTTTTGTGGAAATGAAAGAGTTTTCGTATAATAAACAAATATTTTATTAAATTATATATTGACCGTTCTGGTCCAACACCTTTTGCCATCTTTCTGGTAGTAGCATAATTCCACGCTCATAAAATTTTTGGTCTTTGCTGGCAAAAAACTGATCGAGGAGGTTTTTGACCTCCTCATTTGAGGTGAAGGTTTTACCGTCTAAAAAATTTTGGAGTGACCGGAACAAATAATAATCCGATGGTGCCAGGTCTGGAGAATATGGTGGGTGTAGCATTGTATCCCATTCAAGCTGTAAAAGCTTTTGGCGAGTGACCAAACTTGTGTGAGGTCTCGCGTTGTCTTGGTGAAACACTACACCTTTCCTGTTGATTAGTTCTGACCTTTTCTGTTGAAGTGCATCATTCAGTTTGTCCAGCTGATGACAGTAGACTTCCGAATTAATCGTTGTGTTATCCGGTAAAAGCTCAAAAAAAAAGATTCCTTTAAAATCCCACCAAACAGACAGCATCACCTTTTTTTGGTGAATATCGGCTTTGGAAATGGTTTGAGCCGGTTCATCTTTTTTGCTCCATGACCTCTTGCGTTTGACGTTGTTGTATACAACCCATTTTTCGTCCCCAGTGATGATGCGCTTCAAAAACGGATCATTTTCGTGACGTTTGAGAAGCGAATCGCAGACGTCAATGCGGCGACACAGATTTCTCTCTGTGAGAACATGGGGAACCCATACATCGAGCTTCGAGGATAATCCCAGGCCTTTCAAGTGGTCATAAACTGTTGAATTTGATAAATTTAACCTCAATCCGATCTCACGTGTTGTTATTCGCCGGTTCACATCAACTAATGCCTTTATCGCGTCTTTATCAGCTTCAACCGGCCTTCCCGAACGTGGTGCATCTTCGACATCAAAATTGCCGGATCGAAATTTAGCGAACCAGTTCTGGCACTGGCGTACTGTCAACACACCTTCTCCATACACATCAGTCAATTTCTTTCTGGCTTGAACAGCATTTTTACCCTTTCTGTAGTAAAACAGTAAGATATGTCGAAAATGCTGCTTATCGCTCTCCATATTTAAAAGGGCACCAACCAAAAACTACTGCGTAGAATTAATTGGAATTTTTCACACACAAGCCTTGCTATATGAGCTCTCAAAGCATATAAAAATTATACGGCTTAAATGTGAAGTTGGGTGCAAAAGAATACAATTAGATCCTCTGTCGGGAAAAAACGAAATGACTTTCCGAACAACCCTATATTTCCGTCACTTCATCAATGTTTTCGTCTGTTTCTACTCAGAATTCTAATTTTTTTAATTACCCACTATGTAAAAAAATTGTGTAGGAGAACAGTTCGTTAGGCAGCGAATGTAGGTAATAATTCCGTAAATAATTTATTGGATCATAAACTTTGATTTGGTTATAAATTAAACCCTTCACACTGTGCTAGTTATGATTTGCAGTAATAATAAGGAAGTAACAAATATGTAGAATTTATAGATAATAATATTTATGTTTCTGATAAAGTTTGTTACACGTTAAAGGTAATAAAATTTTTCTCGTTAAGAACTAATTTCAAACAGTTTTCATTGTAGACACATTCATCAAGACGAACACTTTCTACTATAGTTGCTACTTTTCCGCAACAAAGAATTTAACAATAACATTATAACTCTAAAGAAATAATGTTGATAGTTAACATATTAGTTACGTCGACTTTAAATAACAAACTATTGTTAAATGGATTTTGTATGTGCTAAAGTTTGTTACAAGAACTCATTGTTTTGCATGAGTATTTAAGAGAAGAATGCAGTACATTCTTACATAATAAGTTGTAAACTATTTACAAGTTATAAAGACTCCTATTTTTTGTTGTTAAGTCTGCATTGTATACACTACATACATACGTGAATGTTTAGCTTAAATATCATAAATAAATTACAGGTAATAAAAGTTGAATAAGCAATAACTAACTTTTTTTATAGCAAAAGTCTTTAATACTTACATAGTTTATTGTAACAAATTGTCGCTTAATTTTTACTAACAATCTTCAACTTTTTTTCTTTGTAGCATCAAAATAATAAGTTTGAAGGAAACGTTTTTATTTTTATGTGTAAAAACAAAGTTCAGTTTTTCTGCGTAATTTTATTAATTACATGTTAGCATATATGCGTATACATATATGTTTTTTTGCTCAATGGGGCATTTAAAACGTTTCTTGTTAGAGATCTCAGTTACCCTCTTACTGAATATAAAATTGCATATTTCAGATTAGACAGAACAAATAAAATGATAAATAAATAAATAAATAATTTTTAGTTAGCCGCTACACGTTTTTTCACCATTATAAATGAAATGTAACAGCTGATTTTTATGACAACGCAAAAATTACAATTTTCGATTGTAAATGACTTAATTTGCTGTAGAAATAGTAGAATTTATTTGGTAACTTGTAATAATCTCAATTTTGACGTTTCTTTAAAAATTATTACAAGTTTCTTAATTATTATCATTTAATTTGTATCGATTATTATGTATGTACCGACCATTTACAAGCACTGAACTATTTGGAACGTTTACTTACATAACTAAAGAACTTACCTTAAAAAATACTTCCAAATAGAGGCGAAACGTCGGTGTTGACTCTTCATTAATAACAACCTTCTAACCCTTAACTGCTTTAAACTTTATTTAATATTTAATAGTTTAATAATTAATACACAATATGCTCTAAAATGCATAACTGAATAAATTATAAACAGGCAGTACTATAAAAAAAAGGCTCTCTTTGAAATTTTCGATTTTGGTAGTTCTGGACGTGCAGATCAAGTTATGGGTAAAAACCTGTTTTTCACACAAATCTTCAAATATTTGCACACTTACAGATGAAGACATCAAAACCAGCCAATAATTATCCAAAAGTAATGTTCTAACAATTTAAAGGCAATATTTTATATCTATGATCTAGCATTTTCATCAAATGTAATTAATTAAGAAAAACATTGTTAATTTTTTTCTGTTAAATGTTAAATGATTAGAATACCAAATTTTGACTACAAATAATACGTCATTTCTTATAAATATTGAGAAAATATTAATTTTCATGGGCTCATTATTCCACACTGCGAAAACTTAAGAAAATGAAATGTCACATGCCTAAATTAATCTTCTCGTATAATATGACCTATGACATTAGTAATGTTAAAATTGTAGTGCAGTATAATGTTTTTAAAACCGCTTCAATATTATCTACCCTGTTTATTACGTTTTAAAACAACAGACAGACAGATGTCCCTTGCTGGTTTGCATTTATGCTTGATGTCCTAAATAGGTACATGTCAAAGATCGTCGAATACTCAAAATCATATTCGAACCCGTGTTGTAAAATCAAAACATACATAAGTAAATTATTTTTATAATAGTAATTTTTATTTACACTATACATACAATTATAGGCTTAAAATTTGTCAATTTTTTTGTTTTTATTTTATTTTTAAAGATTTTTCTACTTAATTAAAANAGATAATAATAATAGTAGTAGTACGATGTAATATATACAAATAGTTATTAGTATTAGACACTATTTATTTAAGGTATTTTTATAAAAGCAACTGTATGCTATGTTTATGTTACTATATAACTAACGTAACGTTAGGGTAATTTAAGTATTTATTATAAAGTAATTCCTAAGAGAGGGGCTATGATGAAATAAAAGGTAACGTATCCTAATCCCAAAAGGAGAATGAATTTGCAAAGTCTGTCCAAACCCCACATCCTGTAAGAAAAAGGATAACTATCCAAACACATATTGTATTTACTTGAAGTTTCCCAGCTGAAATTTCTTTTACGGTAAAATGACTGTAAATGTTATACTAATCGATTTCTAAAACCTTTTCATTAAATTAAAAAATTATACATACAATAATACTGTTTTTAAATAGGAAAATAATACATAACTAACGATTAATGGAAAATAATCTTACACCATTTTTGTTAATAAATTTTCACGCTACACATAACAGAAGTTTCCGATATTATTTAATTTTTGTGAATTTTGTAAAAACAATTTAAACTTTGTTATAATGAAAGCGGTATTGCCAAACCGTATTGTATGAAAACAAAAATACTAGTATTCAAGGGAAGGAAAAGTACGAAAAGAACGAATATAAAGACAAGAGACGAAAGATTAGAAGTGGCTGATTTTAGATATCTAGGAAGTCAGATAAGTCAGGATGGAGAGATTAGTAGGGATATAAAGCTGAGGATAGCACAGGGTCGAGTCGTCAAAAGAAGATACTTCTATGCTCGCGAACGATTAATTTAGAAATTCGAAATAGATTATTAAAGGTGTATGTTTGGAGCGCGGCGCTGTACGGGTGCGAAATATGGACGGTGGGCGCTGCGGAAAATAAAAGATTAGAAGCTTTCGAAACGTGCTGTTACAGGTGAATGATGAGGATACCGTGGATAGAGAAGGTTCGAAATGAAAAGGTATTAGAATGAATGGAAGAGCAGAGGACTCTACGAAAGTCAATAAAAAATAGACGAGATAGGTTGGTAGTCTAGTCAGAGACATTTTAGAGGCAGAAAGAGGAGTAGAGATAGACCTAGATTAAATTCCTGTTCGCAAATAGTTAAGGATGTGGGATGTTCTAGTTTTGGGAAAATGCGAAGATTAGCTCAGGATAGGAAAAGGTAGAGGTGGGTGTCCAACCAGTCTTAGGACTGACGACCCTATGATGATGATGATAAGCTCAACAAGTCCATTGTTTTCTTTTACGAATTTTAAGATATAAATTAGTTTATTTGTATAAATTTTTAGATTAAATTGCTGATTTTACAATTCAAAGCTCGGTCAGGCACTTCAAGCAAATTTGAAGAAGTCACATTGCGGCGAAACATACGCCAAGGTTTTTTAATTTTTAATGGAGTAAGGTTTTTTTTTCTTTTTGTTATTACTTACATCAACATGTGCCTTCTTGCAGATGGCAACGTGTCATCAGGTTCATTTAAAATATACAGTCTTGTAGCATGAACGCAATGAGTAAAATATTCGTCCAGATCTAAACCTTTTCCGTCAACCTTGAAATCTTCTTTTTCCTTTTCGTTCATAAGATGTCTGGCTTTCAATGAATCGTCATTGTTAAAGTCCCATTGGTTGTTCGCATAATATTCGAAAACCTCGAAACCTTTGCTTATCCTTTTTTGAATCCTCCACAATCTGCACATGAATATTTTGACAATAAATTTTTATTCATGAACAGTTGAAATAAATTAATGTCATTTTTATCCGCAAAATAAAACTGTAAACCACAATCTTTGTTATTGTGTTATTCTCGCTATTGATGTTGGGGATTTTTTATTTAATTCTAATAAAATCGTTCCCAGAATAGTTGTTTAAACATTGACCTTACTTACACTGGTTTGTTTCCACTTAAACAAATAAAAAAGTCTATGACAGCTGCCGGTAAATAATGGAATAAAGCCACACATATTAGATGCATTATCTTCGATTTTTTCATCGACCCTCCGGGGTACCAGACAACTCCATTAAGTGGCATTTTAGTCTCTACTATTCTTCTACCTAATTCGATTACTTGTTGCCAAGAAACTTTTATTTCTCCTGAACTCGTTAGATTATAATATCTCCTTTTCCTTGAAAGCAAAAATTGTTTATACATTTCATTCAGAAAAATTAAATACAGGTAGTAAAAGTATCAAGATCATTCGGTTCTTTGTGAAAATTTAAGACATATTTTCCGTTGTTGTTTTTCCATCTGATACATAATTAACCTCATCCAATGCAATCCTAATCAATTATAAAAAATAAATTTCTTCAAAATATTTCAGATATTTCCAAAGGTAGAGCGGGTTCGATTCCCGGCGAGGATGTGATACCAGTAACAATTTTTTTTCCTTTATTAATTTCTGATAATGTGTAAAGGGTTCGATATTAATTCAATTATTACGACTTTACACTTTGATTTTTATTAATTATTTCATAATTAATCATCGTATCAAAAAATGGAAAAAAGAAAGATGGAAATTCACAAAAAATCGACTGATAATTTTATAATTTACGCACTTGAAACCAATATAATCCCAAGACGTAATAATAATGCCATTTACAGCAACATCTACTGGCAAGTAGTCTGCATACCCTTTACTATTGCAGTACATACTTCTTATAATGCCTTTTCCGGCTCCTATCAGTAATCCTGTAGGACCATTTATGTTGTCGGTCCATCCAGGAACTGGTTCCTTCCAAATTGGTATTACTAAAAACAATTGCATGACCATCACAACTGCTATCGTAATAATTACGATAAAAAGGACATAGTAATTTGACAATTTGGTGTACTTCGGTTTTTAACAGAATTTTTGCGATCAGTAAGGTAGACGTACCTATTGAAGGCCTCACAATTATAACAGGCAGTTTATCCATTTGTTCATCAACAAGGCTCTCCGCCAAAGCTTTCGTAAAGGCATACGTGTTTGGGCAATTACCAAGTAGCCTGAAACAAGTAAATTATATAATCATACGTCTAATACAAAATTGACTTGGGAAGACCCTGGTTTTTTAGTAGATTATTATATGATTGTACTGAATTAACTTGCAAAACAAAATGTAAAACATGTGTGGCTTATTATTACTGGCGAATAATTCCAAAAACTTATAAAACGCAAGGTACTGCTAAGAATTATGCACTTCTGTTTGGTATTTTTTAAACGTATGTGTCAACAGCGTGCTACTGTTATATAAGCGTGTGCCTGAGGTGGCCATCGATAGGCAAGGTGGCATCTTCTATAGCGCTACTGAAAGCGTTCATAAATCAAATACGGGCGCAATAGATATAGACTACATTACAAAAAGGAATTTACGAGAAGTATCCGGAAATATTTAGAAACTTTTAATAACAGTACACATACGTATTTAACGCCAATTTAAAGACAGGTGATACAAACAGTGCGAAAACGAGAAGCGAAATTACCCGATATTTTCCTATAGATATAAACACTGAATACACAACAAGTTTATTAACGAACAACAACAATGAAAAGAAGCATTTTATTTTAAAAAGTATTTAGAAGGAACGCCTTTTTTATTTCGAATGCATTCTTCAGAAAAAAATTTACATTTAGTAATTAGTTGGACTAGAGAATGACTTCATATTTTGCATTTCCTATTTCAAATACATCCCAATATCACTGCTTATTTACATGGGTACTCACTTGTCTGTAATAGATGTAACTATTTCTTCGTCCATCCATTCAACGGCTTTGATGATGTAGTGAGGATTAGCCGGTGGTGGATATGATTTTTCATACAAAACCCTTTCGTTTAAATGACAATAAGCCGTAGATACATAAACAAATACCTGAAGTAGTCAATAATTAAATATTTCATTGTAAAAAGTAAGGGTAAAAGGTTTTTATTAATGTGAAAGTTTCGAATTTAGTTATGAGGCATCCTCAGGATTAGGCTTCTCCTAAATGGCAATTAAAACTTAATGCAAATATAGTAAAAAATTAGAAGAAAAATGTGATTGACAATTTTTACCAATAAGTCCTTCATTTCTTTTGCTAATTCCAGCATATACTTTGTGCCCCTGGTGTTAAGCAGTACTGCCTTTTTCAAGGTTTCGTCAAACCTTATAGTAGCTGCACAGTGGTAGACTAATTCTACTTCTTCAGCCAAAATTTTTCGATTTTCTGAAGAAATTCCAAGATTCGGAAGCGATACATCTCCAGGTATTACTACAACTTTCTTTACTATATCGGGACCATTTAGTTTCTTCACCTTTTCGAACAACTAATACAGAAAGAAGAAAATCAGTCCAATGCAAATTTGACCTTCGAACCCATATCAGATTATTGCAGGTACTAATAAATGGGATTTTACTAGAATAATTAACTTTATTGACTAAGGCAATTTGAATAATGACGAAAACAAAGTTAAAGCTGTTAATAATACAATATTTGTTGTTGCAAATAATATTCTTAAAAGTAGATTTTCTCTTGACTATATTACAGTCATTTGTTATTTAAAGAATTTCTTTATTTATAGTCTTATTATTTGTCCATCGGCATTTTAGTTTATCGAATTAATATTTCTTTTGTTCTTATATAACTGTAGTTATAATTTTTTGCATAGGATATAAACAATACCTTTCTGATAAAATTATTATTACTAAATAATTAATTGCGTAATAATAATGCCATTTACAGCAACATCTACTGGCAAGTAGTCTGCATACCCTTTACTATTGCAGTACATACTTCTTATAATGCCTTTTCCGGCTCCTATCAGTAATCCTGTAGGACCATTTATGTTGTCGGTCCATCCAGGAACTGGTTCCTTCCAAATTGGTATTACTAAAAACAATTGCATGACCATCACAACTGCTATCGTAATAATTACGATAAAAAGGACATAGTAATTTGACAATTTGGTGTACTTCGGTTTTTAACAGAATTTTTGCGATCAGTAAGGTAGACGTACCTATTGAAGGCCTCACAATTATAACAGGCAGTTTATCCATTTGTTCATCAACAAGGCTCTCCGCCAAAGCTTTCGTAAAGGCATACGTGTTTGGGCAATTACCAAGTAGCCTGAAACAAGTAAATTATATAATCATACGTCTAATACAAAATTGACTTGGGAAGACCCTGGTTTTTTAGTAGATTATTATATGATTGTACTGAATTAACTTGCAAAACAAAGTGTAAAACATGTGTGGCTTATTATTACTGGCGAATAATTCCAAAAACTTATAAAACGCAAGGTACTGCTAAGAATTATGCACTTCTGTTTGGTATTTTTTAAACGTATGTGTCAACAGCGTGCTACTGTTATATAAGCGTGTGCCTGAGGTGGCCATCGATAGGCAAGGTGGCATCTTCTATAGCGCTACTGAAAGCGTTCATAAATCAAATACGGGCGCAATAGATATAGACTACATTACAAAAAGGAATTTACGANACGTGAACAAATTTTTATTCCGGAATTCACTTCTTTGATACCTACTGCTTTCATCCAAGCTTCTATTAGTTTACTTTTTTCTCTAATTTTCCGAAAATATTTTTTACATATATAAAACGGTTAGTTTTTATTGGAAAGTAGTTAATGTAGGTGAAGAGTGAAGATCTATGTCTGAAGTGCTATTGCAGCTTTTCACTGAACATATCAACTTTTTATTTGATTTAACTTTAGAAGTAAACTTCGTCGACTCCATCATCAAAAAAATTTTTACTTTTTTAACGTGTTTTATTATTTTAATAAACAATTTTACAATTTGCGTGCACAGTTCCTATGTAAATTTTTCCCTCATTCGAGTTATAAATTTTGCCACCAGATGGTGTATGCCCATTTGACGGATCCCGATAGTATTTTCAATGAATTCGTCATCCTGTATTTCGGTCTTACCACTCCTTTGAACATTTCCCTCAATCTTTCATCAGGTTGTTTCCCTTTTTTCAATCGAACCAATAAATAAATTCTTTTAATGCCTATACAAGTTCGTAACAATTTTTCGACAAGAACTTTTCCCATGAATCCAGTTCCTCCTGTTATAAATATTGTCCGACCCTTGCATGCCTCCACCACTCTATTTACATGCTGGCTTTCTATAATGGCAGCTCTATCAATAATTTTATCCTGTAAACAAATAAACATATAAACAAAATACATGTATTATGTATAATGCGTAAATTGTCCATTTTCTCAAGATATGAAGGAGTTGAGGGGGTGAGTCAAACCAGATGATACGTACAATACAAAAGCCATTGGTTTTAAATAAAACATATTATGGGTTCTAGGTTTGTATTTTTAAAAAATATTTTAAGAAATTAAAATTAATAACAATAAATAAAAATGAATATTTTTTTATTTAATTTTAAGTAGTGTATATAATATTCAATAGCCTTCTANTTTAATTTTAAGTAGTGTATATAATATTCGATAACCTTCTACTGTTATTTTATGTGAATAATTTAGCCTTGAGTGTTACTAATTTTATTAACAAGTGTTTTATTAAATGAAGATTATATTAAATGCCTACCGAATACAAATTTATTAATTACTCGCCAATATGCATCATAAATCAGTTCTTTTTTGTATGTACGTCTTTTTGAATCTATTTACGTAAAATAAAAATGATTTATTGAATGATTGTTAATAAGTTTATTAATCAAATAAACCGTTAGTTTATTTGGAAATTAACATAAGTATGCATAAGAATTATGAGAATATCGAGGAAGACTTGCTGATAAGATCAATTACATAAATTGCCTACAAATATGATAAAACATAATTATATTTACATCTAATTATTATTTATTAATCAGTAGAGATAATGAAACAAACACGTAGTAATTCTCTCAAAAAGGTTAAAGTTGCATTTTTTGGGATTTGAAGTCGGATATCATAAAAATCCTGATCCACGACATGCTGATGAAAATTTGTGTAGTATCAAAGTATTTGGGTTAATAAAACATGCAATTCAAGAATTCTGATAAAAAAATTACTTTAAACTTGTTGGAGCTAACGTAATCCTAAAATGTAGCATCGTGCTACAGATGGCGCTTACTGCGCCATTTGTAGTATTTTCTAAAACGCACTGTTAAGGCAGCAGGAAAAAGTTGGTCTGTGTTCTGTCGGAGCTGCCTGCGACGCGCTGATGAGATCCAAAAAGATCGAAATCGCGATCCGCGTCTGGCAGTTTCGACAGAATACAGACCACTTCGAATTATTTTATTCGATTAAGCTAACGTGCCTATCACGTTGAGGTNACAGTAACACTGGTACAATGAGAAGCTGTATCAAATATAAGCAAAAAGGAAATTGTTAGTGATGCGCGAAGCCAAAGATCCCGGGTTCTATCCCCGGCGAGGGCGTGACAACACCAACAATTTTTCCTCACTATCTTGAGGTAATTTATAAAGGATAAAAATTAATAATGAATTATCACATTATTTTTTAATATTAACCACTACTGAATTTCATATAGTATTAAAGGAAATTGTTAGGAGATACTTCTTTTCGTCAAAAAGATTTGGTAAAAATTATTATGGTATCTGTAAATTTTTAATTCTTAATCAATACAATTATCGTCTGCTGATTCCAACCCGCATAAAAATGAATATTGTCTCTACAAGAACGTATTAAAGAGGAGTTATGAAAATTATCGTTATCTTAATTGAATAAAACCAAAGAATTTCTTTCTAATTTACTTATGTGATATACTTTATATGCGTTACTCCTTTGATAAACATTTTTCTTGTCTCAAAAATGTTACTAGAAATATTCCTACAACAAGTCCATAAAAACAAACTTAGCAAAGCAAGAAGTAAATTCGCATGATCTTTTTTTCTATTCTATTGATCTTTCATCGTCCCAAATAATAGATTTACTGTGGTATCCAAGGTAACAACGTCAGTACACAAACGTTTTTATTTTTTAAGTCATTAATGTCCATTATGATACAATGTTTTATTTGAATTGTAAGAAAAGTTTGCAAAAATGCCGGAGCTACCGGAACAAATGTATTGTTCTCAACAAATCTGCATCCCCCCTTCGTTTCCCTATCTTTTGAGACAATTTTGTAAAGCTGCTATAAGAACTCAACCTGCTGATTTACTAAGGTAAAAAATTAAATGTTCCTATTTCTCCATAAACTAAAACTAAAATATTGTGTCATTTTTTTTAATTACTTTAAATCTTTCCTAGATGGTCGGTGGCCTACTGGAGATGTCTTTCATTAAACATTCCTCCTCCTGTAAAACCCCGTCTTGAGTATCCCCTTCCTCAATGTCGAATTGGAATAACACCGGGATGGCTCAAAGCGCTCCTTAATAATAAACAATGAATGGGGAACAAATGTAGAGTATTTTAAAAATAACAATAAATTATCAGCCGTATGTGACCAGCATTTTCATTTAATATCCTGTTACTCTCGATACAGATATAATTATACCCAAACAATTACAGAGTTGACATAAAATTCTATTTTTAAAACATCTAAATGTTTGTACTTTACTTCTTTTAAATGTGTCAAATTGCCCAATACCTTTTTAAACTTTTTATGACGATAAAAGTCTAGTCTATTAATCAAGTTAATAGTCAGTAATGATATATCAGATCTTCAAGAAAGAACTACGAGATCTGTTTGAAGAAGAATTAAAAATTATTGTCTCTGTGCTACAGCCGGAATGTAAATTGTCATTGCATGTTTATGTTTAGATAAAGAAGAATGATATTATCCGATTACGTAAACTGTATTTACCAGGGTAATAGCCGTAAAAGAGGATAACTGCAAAATTGCACTACCAGCATACTTTATTTTATTACCAAAACTACGTTCTTTGTTTGCCATTTTACTGAAGAATCATACACCAAATCGGCAATAATTACTATTCGAAACTATTTTGTTCTGCTTGCTTAATAAACCTCGCTAATTAGTTATAAAACTACATGCACCACGATCATTATTAATTGTTTCTATATTGTTAAAATCGTGAATTGACATGAATTATTTTGAAGCATTTTCTGTATTAAATTATAGAAATAAAAAGAGAATGAAAAAGAATTACTAACAATTATGGATTTAACACAATCAGGAAAATCTTGATGAATGACGAGCTTTGTATAATATTCATTTTATTTTGTGTTGAAATCAGAAACGATGGGTTTCATTCAAAATTCCCACAAACACATAAAAATTCATTAATTGTTATTAAGAGAAATTTTTGTAAAATAATATAAATAGAGAAATTACTACAGAGTTAATAGAATTTTATAAGAATAAATTATGGATTTAAATAGTGATTTACGTTATCAAAAAAATTTTTACTTTTTGAACGTGTTTTATTATTTTAATAAACAATTTTACAATTTGCGTGCACAGTTCCTATGTAAATTTTTCCCTCATTCGAGTTATAAATTTTGCCACCAGATGGTGTATGCCCATTTGACG